TGCATTTTTTCTTGGATTAAGGAGGTAAAACAGACATTTTGCAAGTGGAACAAGATAACTTACACTTAAAATAAGAAAACAATTGCATTGCCTTATTTCTAGTGCACATTATCTAAGTATCTTATTTTAAAAGATATTCCTTTGGCAAACTATCTGATTTACCGACTCAAATTAAGGGTAAATACACTTAATTTAAGACATTTTTACGTATTTCTAGATCGTTTTTTCCAGTGTATTGAGTATTTGGTGATATCTTAGGATTGCACGTCTTCATTCATCCTGCATCGTCTCTCTTTTGGTTCGTCTCTGGACCGTTTTGCACCCGCAGACAGGAACGCACAAGCCACACAGAGCTAATTTAGCTATTTAGCAATGCTAATGAGCTTGTGGATTATGGTGGTTGATGGCTGTCTGGAGGAGCCGCCGATGTCGGAATCCATTAGCGAGTTCTCCATGAGAGACGGAGGAGTTTCTGACAGCACGGTGTTTCTACACTGATTGAGGAGATTTAAATCTGCCTGATATTGAGACGCCTGAACTGCAACACTATCCGTCCTTCAGGTGCAGTTCACTAAGTGAAGTAGAAAAACTTGCTCTAAATAGACTTTACTGTAGCTCCTTTATCGAATCGATTTTATTTGGCTCAGTCCTAAAGATCGTCTGCATCTTTCAAACACTTTATCTTTCTGGAGGTTTTGTTTTTTTCCTCTTGTTTCTCTTTTAGAGACCAACAAGTGTCAAGCTCTCAATGACATGTGCAGTGAGCGTGGCTAAGAGCCCAGCTGTTCAGCTTTTCATTAAATGTGTGTGTATGGGAGGACTAGTGATGCCATATTTTTCCATGTATTTTAGAGATTGTAAATATCAGAAAAATATGATTAGAAAGATGTTAGAAGTTAAAACAGTACAATCTGCCTTAGATGACTTGAGAGCAGTATAGTTTTGGAAAAGCTAATTAAATAATTAACACATATGAATGATGAGGTTGAATAAAAATGATGTAATCTCTTTGCTGTTACATTTTTCTTTCTGTTTAATATGAAGGTAGATTTGTTTCTTTATTATTCAATGAAAAAAATTGTTGCTTCAATCAAAAAATATATTTTCAATTAAAAAAATCTTCACTTCAATGAAAAAAAACTTTTCAATCAAAGATAATAAAAATATATTTGAGACTCAAAAAAATACATTTGAACACTGCTTTTCTTTGATTGAAAATGTTTTATTTGATAGAAGTGCATTTTTTTTTTGTTTAAAGCAACTTTTTTAATTGAAGTAACCAGTGTTGGGCACGTTACTTTGAAAAAGTAGTTAGTTATAGTTACTAGTTACTTCTCCCAAAAAGTAACTGAGTTACTAACTGAGTTACTCCACAATAAAAGTAACTAGTTACTAGTAAAAGTAACTATTGCGTTACTTTTGTGTTTCTCGCCCCCGTAACCCTCCCCACCCAGCCCCCACCTTCTCGCCGTGTGTTTCCAAAGCCAGCTGAATAGAGCGGACGACGAAGACAAGAACCTGCAGAGAGTTTAGCATTTATTGCAACCCAACGTCAATGACATCAGGGGGGAACGCCATGTGAAGTTTGTTAACAGGGCGTTCAGATCTGGTGAAATTAATAACTGGGGATGTCTAATTCTGAAATCCTGTGTGTTTGGGTTGTTATAGTTACTGCAACATCTATCTATCTATCTATCCATCTAGATCTATACTCTGTGTGTGACATAAAATATGGATCTCCATCCCTGCCGCAAAGGCCATCAAATAATGTTTAAAATAAAAAATAAAGTAGGTTGAAAAGGCAGAGCATCCATCCATCCATCCATCCATCCATCCA